AGCGCGGGTACCCAAATGGATCGTGCTGCGCGCCGCAGCGGTCATGTGCATTGCATTGTATTCATGCATTTTATATCTGTTGGTCTTAATTGTCATTGTCTGCTGTTGTTTCATCGTTTAACGTGCTGAATCGCTGATTATATCTTTATATTGTAATATTTCGGAATTTCTTACTTTCAGCCATTATATATGTTTATTACTCACTGAGTTGGAAGTAGTCACTTTACTCCCTGCACCATGTGTGCAGATTCAGGTGCTCCGGAGACTTAGTGGAGCTGTTTGCTGTTTTCGTGAAGTTTATTTTTCAGGAGTTGTTGAGGTAGCTGCCTGACGTCCGCAGGACCCGACTCCTCCCCTTTATTTCATTTATCTTTCCATATCCTAGACTTCTTTATTACTATGGATATATTACTCTGTTACATCTAGAGGCTCTAGACTCGTGACTCCAGATCTATTGGGTAATGTTTGGATATTCGTTATTATTTTCCGTACTATTTTATTTAGATTCGGATTGGAACCTTGATATTTGCTATTTTAATCGTATTATTTGTTAACGGATTGCGTATTTGGGTTGAGAGTATTTAATTGGTCGGGCTTGCCTAGCATTAGTGTTGGGCGCCATCACGACCGGGATTGGGGTCGTGACACAAATCTTCTTTAACCAAGCTAAAAATCAGTGGCTAATTTAAGATTTTAGCTCAACAAAATAGACCCAGATAATTACTTCACTAGAATAATTCTAACACTTCAACAATTTTGGTTCCAACTTGGATAACTTAAGAACCCAGCAGTTGGAGTTTGATTATTTTTACCCGGTTCTTTAAATCAGTTGCTAACATAATTCTGAATCAAGAGCAGCTCCAAACAATCAACCCAATTTTTGGATATTCAAGCATCCAACAACACAAAATTTCTTTTTCGAAATTTCCTTTGTTTTTTTCTGTATGAAAGGAAATAAACAAGAAATTGTTAGAACAATTTCTTAGTCTACACTCCGAAACAAAAAAGATTAAATTTGGAAGCATGGAGTACGGAGCTTCCCTTGGGAAGGAGATAAAATAAGAAAAAAGGACGAGGATTTGGTTGATTAAGTCTTGGGATGGGTCAAGTATAGGGTTATGGATATCGGGTATCCAGTACGGGCAATTGGTTGGATATGAAAAATATTTAGAAGGCTGTCACGTGTCCCTTCCGTCAAATAAAGGACAAATATGTTTAATAGTAAGACGGTAGGGGCAATTTTGATCGATTAGTATAATGGAGGACAACTTAAACAATATTTGATAGTATAAGGATATATTTGACCCTTTTCTGTACATACAATCACTTATTTTCTAATTAAGAGAGTTTTAGTTGGCTAAATTTTATGCGTGCTAGTGTTGTATTTAGTTGAATTTCCTTCACTGAAAAAAAAAATTATATTATTGTGAAAATAAGGACAAAACTACTCCATATTTTTTACATAAAGAGAGAGGATGTTGAATCTCCTCGACATAGAGAAAGTTATAGTGAAATGGCAAACGAGATCAAGAAATTTCTCTATACTTGTTAGATTGAAGTCCGAGGTGTGACAGTTTGTCATATAAATTCTTATCCCCCCCACTGTTTATCCCCTTAATTTTACTAATAACATGACTATTACAATTTACAAGTCAGCTAATAATTGGGTGTAAGACATGTCCATTCAAGGGTCTATGCTATAGTTTCAAGTTTCGTAATTGACGAAGGCATATGTACAAGTAGAACAATTGGGTAGGTGAATAGTCAGACCATCATCATCTTGACACAAAATGTCCCATCCCCCATCTCCAAACACTTTGGCTGTCCCATATTGAATGTTCTTCTATATTCTCATTTGGCATATAAACTTTTTCTTTGTTTCTCCAGAATTTTAACCTCCAGAGATTTTTATCTTATGTTATACTAATGTATTTTTAGAAAGCATGTGATTGTTGAAATAAGCATCCAAATGTTTAATTTGTACAGAAAATTCCAACCCATTTGCAGCTGGGCAATACTCGAATCATCCACTGAGGTGTTCAAGATATGATATAGCTCTCTATGGAATAAGTGAATAAGAGAGCGAAGTCATTCATTTTTCATGTTAGGCACATATGAACCAAAGGATTTACATTTCAGAGAATTGTTTTTGTATGGTCTATTTCTCCCACACCGGAAAGAGCTAATAAATAGACAGCCGACAGATGCTATAAAAATAGAGGCCCAACAACGCTCAGAAGCATACCTTTCTCGGCCTTTTGGCTAAGATCAAGTGTAGTATCTGTTCTTATCAGTTTAATATCTGATATGTGGGCCATCGGCTCACACGATATTAACTCAATTTTTTAAGGGGAAGGTCCATTAGGGTAGCTTGCTATCCGGTCCTTCGCGCGTCGCCTAGGCGTTACACTACAGCCCAGGCCTGGCGCACCCCTCCAAATCTAGTCCAATATTTTGGCCCAAGCCCAGTATATCTGAGCATTGGCTGTACGATTTCGTAGTTCAATTAATATTACTTAACTTTAGAAAGAAGGTCAATCCTGATTATATGTGTTACTTAGCATTTTGCTAAAAATGCTATATACATAGTCTCCTATTACTATTTAGGGTGGAATAAATATAAAATTAATCAACTTGAGAAATGGTAATATTTCTTCCTATTCCGACAATAGGAGATAAACCGATATGCTCCAACAATAATTCTACTTATAATTTGTAGTTAATTCCTTTTCTTATGCCTCGTCATTTTAGTGTCTCGCTTGTAGAGCCTTCTAAAATGATCTCCTAGATAATCCACTCTGATGAATGTGTAGGCATGTGTTCTTATTAATGGGTTACTAAGTTAACTTGGTATATCAAATAATGGGTTACTAAGTTAACTTGGTATATCAATTTCAATATTCCAATCACGCTTTCAGACTATTCCACGGGAGGCGTTAATCGGTTGTTGAGTTCGGGAGGAATTTTTTGTATTAGTTCTCTACATGGATATATATAAGGTGAGTTGTCGAAAATATAATATGTTAAGAATTTTGGCGATGATTTTTCATTACAACAAATTTGTTTTATGATTTTTATAATCATATGTGAATTATAGCTCTCAAAACATTCAACTTTTCTCTTTATTTGTAGTCCTTTTTTAAAAAAAAAGAAAGAAGTGAAGTGTTAGTTGTGAAAACAATCCCAAATCTTTAAAAACAGCAGCCGACCGAATTAGTTTGAATTACTTTCGTAAGAAGACATTTTTTAAAAGAGTTTCTCCAAAAAAATTGCCAAAGAATTTTTCTAGAAAATGTACATTGGGAGTTCAACTTGGTCAAAGTATATGACCTCACGTGTAAGCTAATATTCATTGAATATAAACTTAATATTTCAGCGGGATGAATACTCGAAACTAATGCTTATCTGGTGAAACGTCAATAAATGTTCTAATTATACCAAATAATCTAGTGTGGCATAATCTGTGATAGTCTCATGCAGTTCCACGTTACATATATGTGCGAGTTATCAGTGGCGGTTCGACGAATATATTGGCCTAAAACCAAGCTATATTAAGAGGCCCTTTAAATTTATTATGTAAAATTAATATAATAATGAGATAAAAAAATCTTTTTTTTGTTTTGTTGAGAAGATAAAAAAAATCTGCTTTCAGAGGTGTGAGTTCAAGTCAAAATATGACTAAATAAAGTAGCTAAATCAGAATAATGAGTTCAAGTTAGAAAATAAAATGATCAACAAAATAAATAAATTGTTAAAACTTGAAATCTATTATTACTATTTATTATAAAAATAAATTATATTTATTCATAATAATATAATATACTCCTAATATTTTTTGGGGGCCTTTTAATTTTGAGGGGCCTAAGATAATGACTTTAGTAGCTTTACCTTTCGGCAGGTCACTTATAGTTCATGTATTGTTTATTTGATGATGAAAAATTACCTACTTTTAAAAGCTATTTTTATCTTTAGATAATTTAATTCCTATGTTGCTAATATACGTATTCTTATTTGATAGTACTATTTTATATCACATAGAACAATACACATATACTTGCATAAACAAGCTTTGTGCAGTACCACCAATTTCTATGCATAAACCAATATAGTGCTATGTTGATATGCCCTAAGTTGTATTTAATAAACGTCTTTTAGTTGATGATTGTTTTATTATTTAGAAATGTAATTGCATAATTCAAAACGTTTCACTTCGAATATATGAGTATTGTATCAACAGTACCGTACCCCTCTATTTTTTCTCAATAGGCACCAACATGAAATCTTCTTAAATGTTCAATACGCAATAGTTAATAAACGGTTGTGTTTTCAAGTAAGCAAATATCGATAGATCAAATAAGAAAACCTTAATGTACATATTATTCTATATTTAAATTTTTTGGCCGCCAAGTGATAATCTTATTAACTATCTTATTTTTACAACATATTAAATAGCGGTATTACATTTGTTATTTGTAACCAACAATTAGGTAAGAAAATCAACATGCATTTATGCAATCAGAAGTAAATTTCCTTCCTTTTATCATCACATCACCTAATTTCATAAATTACAATTTCTTTTGGGTTATTATAATCAGTTATAAGTAGTAGTTATTCCCGTTAAAACGTAACATACACGCCTTTTCGTTTTACGTGTACAAGTTTTAACACAATTATTAAACCATAAACACAAAATGTTAAACCTAACACTGAACATAACTCATGTTAAACATTTCTTAATAAAATTGATAATTGATTCAAGTTAACATACATTGGAAAAATCTTCAACCTAAACTCGAGCTCAATGAAATATTTGGGCTTATAACATCACATGTTACAGGCTGTGAGCCCAAGTGAAAGGAAATATTTGAAAAACCTAACTTCAATATGCAATAGAGCCAAAGCATAGAGCAAGAAATTTCAAAAAAAAAAAAAAAAATGGGAAAAAGCGATGTAATGTTGTATCGTGTGATATAAAAAACTGAGTCACGTTATAAGATAATACTAATACACTTTTCTCTCACGTAATTACATTTCACTACCCTCTTTGTTCCTCAAGCTTGTGTTATTCTTCTTCTTCCCCAACGTTAGAGAGAGAACAAAATTATAGAGAATAATAACGATTACTATTTCTTTTTCTGATCCAAACTTTAAAACTGTTTTTTTTCTTCTTCAACCAGTGGTTAGATCTGTTGAATTTTCCTCAGAAAATCTGAGGAAATAAAGGTGAGTTTTCTAGAAAAATGAGATGAGTAATTTTTTTTTTTTTTTTTTGGGTTTTGAATTTTGAACTGTTAAGTTTAACTTTTTTTTTGTACTGTTGTGTTTTGCAGACCTAATGAAGCGATTACGGGATGATGTTTATGCTAATCCTCAATTCAAGCGTCCATTTGGTTCTTCTCGTGGAGAATCGTAAGCTATTCTCTTTTCTTGTGTTTTTTGTTGTTGTATTATAGGTTTAAATCAGGTTATTTTTGATTTAAAATTTCTCTATTATGATATTTTTAGCTTCTGAACTTGCTGAATTTCTTCGCTAGTTTTAAGTAAATTAGAGACCTTTAGTTACTATGTGGTCTGTGATGGCTAAAATTTTGTGATCAGAAGTAGTTAGATTCCACCTTCCACCGTGCCTTAAGACTTATGTTAGGTCGTATCTTTGTTCCTACTACCACTCAGAGATTTTCCAGCGGATTTTTAAATAAAGATTTGATCTTTATGCATGCTGCTTTTGTTTTGGTGGATTTAATTTGCTAAAAAGCATTTAACTACTAGTAATAGACTGTTTAATAAACAATTTAGTCAAGGTCACTGGGGCAGATCCGCAGTGTAAGTTATTCATTCACCCTAACCCGGTAGCTTTGACCTAGCCTATATATGCATTAAGAAATCACTATGTACAAATATTCAATTTCGAACCTGATTCTTAGCACTTGAGGTTGCTGTCCTAGAATTCCGAACCCATAAATTATCAAATCCTAAATCCACCTCGCGTTAAGGAGACTCATTTCGCTTCCCAGTAATGGAACTATGAGTTGCTAAGGGACGGATAGGTTGGTAGAAAGGATCCTCCATGGGTTCAAATCATCAAGGACAAAGTGGAAAAGGGCCACTGTTGGATCTTACACTGGTGGGTTGGGGGGGGGGGGGGGGGTGTTATCTTATCAATCTTTTTTCCTATGTTTTTTTTTTAAAATGTTTCTTTAGTCAATCTCTTGGGCAAAGGAAAACTAGAAACAAAATCACTGTTTATTTATTTGTTTTGTTGAGTTATGACAATCTTGAGAAAGAAATTTGAAACTATGACTTTTGGGCGAACTAACTAAGGTGCTAAGAATGGATGGGAATGGTACTTTTATCCTATTAAAAGCATATGGTGGGAGGAAAATGGTCAATTATATGGTTTAGAGCAATAAATTTCGTGGCTATTTTTAGTTTGATTCTATGTATAATTTTTTCTTTTTCTCCCAACGAAGATACGGCCAATCACAGGTTCCTGGAAGTGGTGCTGGCGGCGGAGGCAGTGGTGTTGGAGGCACTGGAGGGGGTGTTGGTGCCAGTGCTAGCACCCAAAAGTTGACAACTAATGATGCATTGTCTTATTTGAAGGAAGTTAAGGACATGTTTCAAGACCAAAGGGAGAAGTATGACTTGTTCCTTGATGTTATGAAGGACTTTAAGGCTCAAAGGTTTGTTGCTCGTCTTTCGGTCTTAATTTGTTTTTTAAATTCCAAATCTGATGATTCATGGAGGAATTTTTGCGTAATTATGTTGATTTTCCCGCACAGAATTGACACTTCCGGTGTCATAGCAAGAGTGAAAGATTTGTTTAAAGGGCATCCAAATTTGATCCTTGGGTTCAATACTTTCTTGCCCAAGGGCTATGAAATAACCCTCACTGAAGCAGAGGAGGCTCCTCCAAAGAAAACAGTTGAGTTTGAAGAAGCTATCAGCTTTGTGAACAAAATAAAGGTAATGATGTTGGTGCTTTTCAGTTCTAGTGACTAGTGATAATAATGTCCCGTTTTCCTTTATGTAATTCACTAATAATATATATGTGTTATGATTCCTGCAGAAACGTTTCCAAAATGATGATCACGTGTACAAGTCTTTCTTAGACATTTTGAACATGTATAGGAAGGAACACAAAGGCATTACTGAGGTGTACCAGGAGGTACAACACTGAGTAATTGACGCATAAATATGATAGACAATTTTCGTATTTTTAATGTGTTCAGTTCTCTCTAAATGTGTAGGTTGCAGCACTTTTCGAAGACCATCCTGATTTGCTGGATGAGTTCACGAGATTCTTGCCAGATTCTTCAGCTACTGCATCAGCAACACAGACTTCATTGGGCCGACCTTCTTTCCATCGTTATGATGAGAGGAGCTCTGCTACATTGCTTCGGCAACCACACATGGACAAGGTATTCTATTTGATTTTTCTTGTTATCTCATTCTCGGTTTTTAATGCTATTTGTTCCTCTACCATATTGATGAGTCTATCTGTTCTTCATTCTAGCAACGTTTCCGCCGGGATAGGATTATCAGTCCTCATGCAGAACGTGATCCTAGTGCTGAGCGCCCTGAGATGGACGATGATAAAACAATGATAAAGTTGCATAAAGAGCAAAAGAGGCGTGCTGAAAAAGAGAACAGGGACCGCAGAAGTCGCGATCAGGATTATAGAGAACCTGATAATGAGAATAATGGAGATATAAGCATGCACCGCATTGCTGATAAAAGAAAATCTGCTCGGAAGGTTGAAGAGTTCGGAGGCACTTACGATGATAAAGATGGCGTGAAAAGTGAGTGCATGGTTAGCATTCTGATTGTTAGTATATAAGGATGATAGTGGTTTTGTATATGATTTGTTTTGTTAGCATTTTTCTGCCATTATTCTTTAGGCTTATGACCCCTCAGTACAATCTGTTCTGCTGTATGGTGTTCATTTATCTTAGGTTTCTATACGAGTTTTGAAGTTCTGATGTTTGTTAGTTCATCCTTAATCACAAAAATTCCATCTTATGCTGGAAGTTTGAATAGGCGATCCTTTAAAATATTTTCTTGTCATTTTTGCTGTTGCTTGGCCTTTGGTCGCAAGAAATTTATTGCTCCTTTATTCTGGTGGAGGGTGTTCTTATCATGCGAGTTTCACTTTGTTGTTTCATTTTGGAGTTCTTAACATATGATCTTTGTACCCCGCATGGTGTCACTAGGTTTGATGATTGACCTTTATGATTTGCTTGATTGTGCCAGATATGTATAGCCAAGAGTTCACTTTCTGTGAAAGAGTAAAGGAGAGACTATGCAGTCCAACTGACTACCAGGCATTCCTAAAGTGCCTCCATATTTATAGTACAGAAATAATTAGCAGAAAGGAGTTACAAAGTTTGGTATGTCTGTTTGATCTTTTTACTCCTTTATGACAGTGATTTTTCTTTGTTATATTTAACATATAGAAGGCATTCAAAATTTTAATCTATCATATTATGGACATTGATTAGGCACTAGCCATGTTAGTGATACAAATTGGTTCTGATGGTTATTCACCAGGGATTTGACCTCTTTATCCCTCTCCATGTGGTAGAAAACTAGCTTAATCATGATTTCCTCAGGATTGAATGACACTACAATGTTTGGAATCAATATCTAGATGGTTTGCTTGTTTATTTTTGTTTAAGCATCACAAATTTGAAAGAAATGCATATATCAGGTTGCTGATTTACTTGGAAAGCATCCTGATCTTATGGAGGGGTTCTGTGAATTCTTGGAGCGCTGTGAACGAATTGGTAATTCTGTTATTTTTTTAGTTTGTGTGATTGCAACGTTACATCTATGGGATTCGACTCTGAATGTTACCTACTCTGCAGATGGATATCTCGCAGGTGTTATGAGCAACAGTAAGTAGCGCCAATACCTGACACTCAACCATCTAAAAGAAAAACGAAAAAAAAAAGAAAAAGAGAGAAGAAAAACATTTCTTTTGTCTTCTTGGGATGCCTATTTTTTATCACTATAGTCTGATGAAGTGTTCTGTTAATAACAGAATCTTTGTGGAATGAAGGGCATACATCAAAGTCAGTGAAGGAGGAGGAGAAAGACAAAGAACAGAAGCGTGAAATTGATGGAGGTAAAGAAAAGGACCGGTACAAGGAGAAATACTGGGGAAAGTCCATTCAAGAGCTTGACCTTTCTAACTGTAAGCGCTGCACTCCCAGTTATCGACTTCTTCCTGAAGATGTAAGAAACTGTTCTATCTGTTTTCCTGGTAAAATCTTACATGGAAGAATCTCTGTTGCTTCCGAACTATATTGACTTGAACTTGTTGAATCTGTTTTCGGCAGTATCCGATACCTACAGCGAGCCAAAGGTCAGAGCTCGGGGCTCAAGTGTTAAATGATCATTGGGTATCTGTGACCTCAGGAAGTGAGGACTACTCTTTTAAGCACATGCGCAGAAACCAGTATGAAGAAAGCCTGTTTCGATGTGAAGATGATAGGTAGTTTTTTTTTTTTGCAAGTGTTAAGCGGTTACCCCTCGGCCCTAACCCATTGCAAACTAAAGAAATTGAGAAAAAAAGGAAAGGGAAAGAGAAAAACATGGGAATGATAAAGCATTAAAAAATAAAATAAATCCTAAGAAAACAATCAGTTAAGAGAAGTGCAGGGAATCTGGCCTCTCTATCACTTCTATGAGACTCATCTCTCCTTTGCAATTATCAGGTCAAATAAGAATTACCTAATGTATATGGTTCTTGAATTAGCTTATTGACTTATAAAACCTTCTGTATTATATCCTCTTAAGGCTTGCCTTAAGTGGTTATCTTCTGCATTTTATCAATGATGGTTTGTTGCATTCTGTTAACATCAGGTTTGAGCTAGACATGTTATTGGAGTCAGTGAGTTCAACTGCTAAGCGTGCAGAAGAGTTGTTGAATGCCCTTAATGATAATTCAGTTGGTGTGGATGGCCCAATCCGCATCGAAGACCACTTCACAGGTTTGACATTTCTGATATCATTAAGATGCTGCTGTCTTTCTGCTCAGTTCATTAACATAAATATGTATAGTTTGTAGTTTGCTGATGCATGAAGTTCTACTTTATGTAGCACTGAATTTAAGGTGCATTGAACGTCTCTATGGTGACCATGGCCTGGATGTGATGGACATTTTGCGGAAAAACCCACCTCTTGCTCTGCCTGTGGTATTAACCCGCTTGAAGCAGAAACAGGAGGAGTGGACGAAGTGTCGCTCAGACTTCAACAGAGTTTGGGCTGAAATTTATTCTAAGAACCATTACAAGTCGCTTGACCACCGAAGTTTCTATTTCAAGCAACAAGATTCAAAGAACCTTAGCACAAAATGTAAGTCCTCTGTTTGGTGTATGTGGTGGTCTTGGTTTTCGCTGTGGAGTGTGGACTTCCCTTCACAGTTTTTTTTTTTAAAATTCTCCTGGCCCCATTTTTCATGGTCGTATGGGGCTAACAATGCTATTTCATTTAGACTTATATTAGTGCACCATAATGTTTGTGTAAAAGGGCAGCCCAGTCTACTAAGCTCCCGCTATGTGCGGGGTCCGGGGAAGGGCCGGACCACAAGGGTCTATTCTACGCAGCCTTACCTTGCATTTCTGCAAGTGCTTGTTTCCACGGCTCGAACCCGTGATCTACTGGTCACATGGCAACAACTTTACCAGTTACGCCGAGGCCCCTTCACCATAATGTTTTCTGTGCCGTCCATTATTCATCTGTTCTGTTTATTCCATAAAGCTTCTTTCTATTATTTTCTATTCTTACACATTCTGGACGAGCCATCAATTCCTTATTCTCTTTGCTGTTACTATCTAGCTTTATTCATCGTAATTGGATATTCACTCTCTTAATATATGCTAGCCTTTCCAACTGCACTTTCGTGTATGTCCTTTTCATACAGATAGTACTAGCATTCTACTGTACTTGCTACTCATTCCATTTATGTTCTTGCTGCCCTTATTTCGGAAATATTGACTGCTTGTTCTAGTGAGCTTGCTACACTTTTCAGTATGCTTTTTCCCCGTTCTCCTTTTGCATATAAATGGTGCTAGTTATCCTAGTTTACATGCTTGTTTACCCTAAAATTTGAGTAACAATTAAGCTTATATTGTGGTTTTAAGGATACGTGATTCAATCCCATACCAATTGATAAGCAAGAAAATAAATAGATAAATTAGAGAATAAAAATAATCAAACCAATCTGCTAGCCAAATTTCAACCTCGACTTGTGGTAGTCTCGAGGTGTGACAATAAGAATAGCAAATGATGAAGCAACTCTGATGAACAGTAAAGCGAAATAGCAAGAAAGTAATGAGGTATATATTCTTATCAGCGAACAATGATCCTTACAAATGAATGGGATCCCTCTTTATATAATGGGGGAGTCCTAAATAAGGTACACTTCTAATTATAGTAGGAAATCATATTTGACAACTGATTAACCGCCGAAGATCAATCCATTCCGAAATTCACGCCACGATCTTCGATCCTTTGCGGATATCTCGCCCTTTCGGTTATCGAACTATACCGGCATCATTTCGAAGTATACCTTCTTCTGACCTCGGTTAGTGATGTCGAACTCGATCTTGGAAAGAAACTCTGATCCCGGACTCGACGTCCTGGCCTTTCAACGTGGTATCTCTCTTTTGATCAAAGGATGAAATCGGGTAGTCCCGATTTCCACCGTATACAATGCTATATGTATTTTTATTTATTTATTATGTGCTACTGCTACACAGTTCTGAGTAATTGACTGTGAGATCAGTAGATAGCTGATGTAAAGCCTAGGGATTTCATGATTGTCTAGTGTATAGACATTGATATTTTCACCTAGATGTTTCCTGTGGTTCTTTCTTGTAATTTTGATGATTCTGATTGACAGCCTTAGTGGCGGAGATCAAAGAAATTAAGGAGAAAAAGCAGAAAGAAGATGACATGATTCTTGCTATTGCCGCTGGTAGTAGACGTCCAATAAGCCCTCATCTTGAATTTGAATTTGCTGATTCTGATGTTCACCAAGACATGTACAAACTTATCAAGTATTCTTGCGAAGAGGTTTGTTCCACAGAAGAGCAGTTAAATAAAGTTCTGAGGCTGTGGACCAGCTTTCTTGAGCCAATCTTTGGTGTTCCTTATCGTCATCATGGCTCTGAGGCTACTGACGACGATGTCTTGTCAAAGCATCATGGTTTGAAGAGCAATGGAACAAGCATTGGCGAAAGTGATAGAAGTCCAAGTGCGGATGCTACCACTACTAAGTCTAAGCAATCAAAAGATATCTGCAACGGAGATGCAAATTCTTCCCCTCAACGACTAAATTCTTCCAGGGCAATCTTCACTAATACAGATGCTCGCCCCAAGGAAGATGGATTAGCAGTAGCTGGTGAACGCTTACTTAGTTCTGATGCAGTTGCTGCCCTTGGAGCAGATAATGCTTGTGCAAGATTGGAAAGTACTTCAGGTATACATGTATCCGGATTATGTGTGATTTATGGTGCATGATGGATGTTTCTCCACTGTCTTAGTCATGCTGAATTTGTTGGACTTAGGGGTCTGTTTGGTGCTTTATCCATGTATAAGTTACATGGATAAGTTATCCCATGTTGCTAGTGGTATACAGTATTACACCATTGGTAATTAAATTATACCAGTATTAGTTATGCATGATTGAAAATACAAACATAAAATTGGATAAAGCTCTACCAAATTCTATAACCATGAGTATTCACCCAATCCCTCAAACTAAATGTGTCCTTACTGTTGGTGTCTTTTGGTTTTGACCAAGTTCCTTAATTTTCCAAACTGATGTTTGTTTATCCAGGCCGTGGCACACGACCTGGTAATGACGCTGCTGAGGATGGCCTAGGAGCGAAGTCTAATACTGATAACGTGCCAATTTCAGAGGTATGAAGCTCTAACTATGTTAAGTTTGGTTTGTGCTGATGATCATGATTGCTCAAAGGTAAATGTGGTTTCTCTTTCTTGACACAGGGTGGCACTTCAAGATCACTACCCTTGGCAAATGGCGGATTTGCTGATGGTTCTAGAGTTGATGGGTTTAATGCTGACTCTGTTGATCCCTCTAAAAATGAGAAAGAAGAAGGTGAGTTGTCGCCTAATCAGGATTTTGAAGAGGACAATTTTGTTGTCTTTCGAGATGGTGCCGCACGCAAAGGAAATATGCAATATCAATCTGGAGGTGCTGAAATGGTTGGTTGTCAGGATACTGCTGGTGAAAACGATGCAGATGCTGATGTTGAAGATAGTGAAAGTGTTTCCGAGGCCGGAGATGTTTCAGGTAGTGAGTCTGCTGCTAATGAGTGCTCTCGGGAGGAGCATGAGGAAGAAGACGATGGAGAGCATGACGAGCTTGATGGTAAAGTTGAGAGTGAAGGTGAGGCTGAGGGCACGAGTGAAGCAAACTTTGTTGGAGGTGATGCCACTGTGCTTCAAATGTCTGAACGTTTTTTGCTTACTTCAAAGCCTCTTGCTAAACATGTGGTTTCACCTCATTGTGGGGGTGCAAAGAACGACCTTCGAGTCTTTTACGGAAATGATGACTTTTATGTGCTTTTTAGGCTTCATCAGGTAAGGGGATTTTCTTTTAGATTGTGGTACCGCTTAATGAAAACTCCCTTCAAACCCTGCCTCTTGTCTGAACCTAAAGATGTGTAAGTTGTATTCCTTATTTTCTCTTTTATTTTTCCAGATTTTGTATGAAAGGTTATTATCGGCAAAGCTGAATGCAGCATCATCTGAATCAAAGTGGAGAACTGGAGAGGATACTGGTTCTGATCCATATACCAGGTGGATTGCGAGTATTATCTTTGGGGTTAGATGAGAAGTTCGGTCTGCTTGCTTATTTTTAACGACAGTTGATCTGTGTGTGCAGATTCATGAGTGCACTGTATAGTTTGCTAGATGGATCTGCAGATAATGCAAAGTTTGAGGATGATTGCCGATCAATCATTGGGAATCAGTCATATGTGCTATTTACTTTGGACAAACTGATATATAAACTGGTCAAGCAGGTATTGTTGCTCTAGTTATTTAAACGTAATCTGGTAAGCTGCGACTTGGTGGTTCTTGAACATGCTTTTGGTTCTATTTATTTATTTTTGCTTCAGCTTCAAACTGTTTCAAGTGATGAGCTAGACGGTAAGCTGCTTCAGTTATATGAATATGAAAGATCACGGAAACCTGAGAAGTATGTCGATTCAGTTTATTACGAAAATGCTCATGTCCTCCTCCATGAGGAGAACATTTACCGGTTTGAAAGTGTAGGTCCCTCGCTACTTGTCTGAATTTGCCTTTGCACCCTCCACTCTTTTTTTCCTTTGGTTACCGTGTCCAAGTACATTAATATGGTGTGTTATTATGTGATGATTCTTGCAGACATCTTCCCCAACTCGTGTGTCTATCCAGTTCATGGATGATGGAAGTGAGAAGTCTGAAGTTGTTGCAGTTTATGTAGACCCCAATTTTGCTGGTTATCTATATAATGATTATCTATCTGTTGAACATGGGAAGAAAGAGTCGTCTGCAGTGATGCTGAAGAGGTAATTTGATTCCTATCCAAAGATTAAGTTTGGGAATGCAGCATGTGTCAAAAATATGGATACTCTTCTCGGTTTGGAGAGTGGGAGTGAGGAGGGCATGGGTTTGTATTAGTTCATGTCCTCCAACGTTATGTTTTTGTAGGTTATAGGTAGTCTACTCATAGTCCAATTTTATTATTCTACCCTTGTCTGTACGGATTTGTTGCTCTAAAACAAATTGCATATATTTCATCAGCATTTGTAAAAGTAAACATGGGACTTGGTTTTTTATTCTGGATCTTCAAATTTATTGGAAAAAAAAAAACATAATTAAATTTGTGCTGGGTCCACCTCAAAAATTAGTATAAACTTTTGACTCCTTGCATATACAGCCACTGTAGGTTAATTAAAGCAGAAGATTTTGTTCCACTCTAGTATATGTCAGATATGGACAGACTATGTCGACAGAGGTGCAGATCATGATGCTTTTTTGGTGCTAACTGGAAAACCTTGCTTGACTGTCCTTTGGAAAGTGTTACTTGAGAAAGGAGGCTGGAGAACAACCTGCCTTTGCCTTGACATTCAGTAACTTGCTCTCGATTTTCTCAATTAAGTAACTGTGTCAGCAGAATAAGCATTCAATTTTTGGACAGTATGGATAGAAAGAAACTATAGGTGTTTTGAGGATGATAATTTATCCTTGCCTTTTGTAAACTTCAAATGCTCACACATGTTTTTTATGGTGTAACACAGATTTAGGTAATGATTTAGACAACTTGGTGGAATTTACAAGTTCTCTTCACTGTTAAAGAGGATAAGCTACCTTATCTTCAACTTCTTGGTGCAATTTTATCAATGAAAATATTTTGCTTTACGTGTCAAGAAAATAGAATAAACATTCAATGTTTTCCGTGTCTGATCTGCTTCTTTTGTAATTTCCTTTTGTGAGATCTGTGAGCAGAAACAAGAGAAAACATACTGACCATGACGTATCTTCCGCCCTGTGCACGGTGATGGAAAATATTATACTCGTAAATGGCTTGGAATGTAAGATGGCTTCAAATTCATCAAAGGTACATGAATTTCTACTTTGACTGCAACTGCTAAAATTGCAAATGTTTAATATAACTTTGTGAAATTGTTTATATACTTTTAACCTTATGTAGCATTAGTTGTACTGAGAAAGTTAGTGCCTGATTCTTGTTTGTCCTATTATTGTTTTTATCTTTTGCTGAGAACTCATATACATAATCAAACCAAGATAGAGAGCAGATAGCTCGATGAGTGCATCTGGCACTTGCAGTAACATCCCCTATGAATTATTGCATTGATAAGATAAAGCCTTGCAGATTTCTTATGTACTGGACACAGAGGACTTCTTTTACCGTCTTGGAAGGAAAAGAAAAAAGATTTCGGCTGGCAGATTATTGTGGCATGGCCAGGCGAGAGTAGCACGCTTCAACCGTGTTTTGACATCCTCGTTATGACGATGCATGGCCTTCTTGTTAAACATGTGTCAATCAAGGTATGCATCAGTTATCTAGCCAAATCAGTATATATATATATATATATATATATATATATATATATATATATATATCAAGGTCTATCGGTGTATTTACTCTAAATTCACATCAGTATTTGTTGCTACTCAAAGAAGTCTCACTCTTACTCCCTACTTATGTCTGCACACTTCAGATTTTCTTGATTTCTTCGGTACAACTACTTACTTGACCCAACTGGTTGAGCACTTGGTGGCGGAATTCTCTCGAATTGACTTCACCCTCAGAACAATGATCAAGGACTGGAGTTATTCGTCAAACTGTATTATACTTGTGATGGAATTAGAGTCGTTTTCTTGTAAATATGGGTTTTCCTGATGATGTTAAATTGTAGAGATGTATTTATTGAATTGTATTTCTTTCTTGGGATCACAAGGAGCCTAGATTGCATTTCCTCAGCAGCAATCTGTAGCGGCCCCTGTGGAGTGAGCTAGGTGAAAGTGGTATAGTGGAAAAGCTTATTTTGGAAGTTGCAGTGAGTTTTAGTCCCTAACTTTGTACAGAGCACACATTCCAATTCCTGAATTATGCTGAAACACAAGTGAGATTTATTCCTTTCTTGGCAAGGTGTTACTTCCATCTTTCATATATGTATTGGTTTAGTTATATTGAAGAACTAGTGTTTTTATCTTTAATCAAAGGACTCGAACCTGTTCGAGTCCATGGGATATTCTTAGTAGGGAGCATTTTTACCCTAAGTGGGTTTACTCGCTATTTATCTGGATTCATCTGGCTAGCGAGTTTTGGACACGTGATGCCTAAAGTGAAAAGAGTAGGTGTGTTTCATTTCGTGGTGAGAATCTCTACCTCACAGGCTGATTTTCCTTCACTCCCCATTTTGCAGTTAAGTCCAACAATATGAAGGTCCCTGTGCTCCAAAAGCTGGATACTCATATTGAAGTAATATCTTACTAGAGGCTTGCAATGGGTAGGCTTCTAATCTTGGTTTTGCATAAAGAAACTCAATTTTGGAAGTTGGTGTTCGATTTTATTTGATGCCATAATAAGGCAATTGAAAATTGGTTAACTTGTAGACTGAATTGTACGACACCATCATATAATTGATGATTAACAACATTTGTCCTTGCATTCATTTGATTTTCTGAGCTATTTTTGAAATTATAGTTGTCGGGTGTTTTCCGAAAAACTTTTCCATAACGTATGCTACTGTAAAAACACTTCCAGTTTTTCCTAAAAAACCTTTTCATAATGTATGCTACAGTATGCTATTTACCTAGCTATACTATAATAGAAACTTATTTACCACTTTTCTTTATTTACCCCCTCCCACGTTGCCCCCTCCCCTTTCCCCCTCTCACTCTCATGTTATCAATTATAGAAAACCCCTACAATCACGTTTTCATCACATTTTTAAAAAGATTTCAAAATATTCTTTTCTCTTTCATATAAATTAACCCAAACCTCTGCCACTTCATACAATATATCGATATTATCTCTAAAATTTCAGCATGAAAGGTGCTTCATTGATAGCCATAAAAAGTTTCGAAGCTTTGAATTCAATATTCAAGTTTTACGAATTAGTGAGTTGTTTGGATTGAGTGTTCTTGTAAATGACTGAAAATATACCTTGGAGTTTATATTTTAATTTTGAGCGAGATTGGGGAAGTTCAAAATTATTTTTAGTTAAAGTTTTCAGATTGAAACTCGAAGAAGAAGTTTTACAATTGTATCACGATTGTATACTAATTGTATCATAATTGTATCAATATTCGGATTTTACGAATTTATGACTTGTTTGGATTGGGTTTTCTTCCAAACGGTTGAGGATATACTTTAGAATTTATATCTCAATTTTGAGGGAATTTGGTTAAGTTTAGAGTTGATTTTAGGTAAAATTTCTTATATATACAAGAAGAAGAAGAAGAAGAAGAAGAAGAAGAAGAAGAAGAAGAAGAAGAAGAAGAAGAATTGAATTAGGATTGTATGATAATTGTATCACAATTGCATTAAAATTCTTCGAGGACTATATCAGAATTGTATTATAGTTGTATCTGATGCATCAATACATGAAATAATACCTGATAGAATATTAATACAAGTTTAATACAATATTTGTATCAAAATTGTATCAAATTTTTATTGGTTTTTATGTTTTTTGTATATGATTTGTTATTCCTCCTCGATTTTTAATCTGAAAATAAAAAAATTATGGTTATTGCTGTTTTTTATGGAGTTTGCTGCTTATTTTAGGTGGAATTTCATATTGAAACTTGAAAATGAAGAAGTTCATAATTATATCATATTTATATCAGAATTGTATCGAAATTATTTTCAAATTGTATAATAAATGTATATGAATTATATAAGGTTTTCTTTTTTAAAAAATATCGCCGTACAAAAAATAAGCATTTCTTTGGTGTGGATTTATTTGTTTCCATTTCAAAGCGATTACGGCTTCATATTTGCTTCCAAACTGCATTCGTCCATTTGTGTTTTCTCTTGTGGATTCTTCTACTAATAGCAAAAATCTTGTATTAGGTTTTTGAAAAATTGGAAGAAGAATTTGGTAAAACAATATTTGAAGAAGAATTTGCTTTCTGGTAGAAGAGGCGGGAGAGAGGGGATGAGAGAAAAAAGAAAAAGAATATAATTGAATCCCTTAATTGAAGGTATTAATAATGGGGTAGAAATCTTTTAATAGGGAATGTATACAATTTGTAAAAAAAAACCTAGACACTTTTTAAAAATTACAAAACTGAAAAAAAATAGATAAATAAGTTCCTATTATAGTATATATCAGAAAAATTCCCTTACTTTTTTATGTTTTTTTTTTTTTGGGTGGGTGGGGTGGGTTGAACTGGGCTCTTGAACCGTGGAAAGAAAAGAGAGAATTTTTTGAGCAAAATGTTTATGAATTGGATATTGCTCTTGCAAGTTGCAAGCCACCCAGGTGGAATTCTTGATAGTCGGTCCACTATCTCTGTGTATTTACTAATTTTATATTCCATTATTTATGGCATTTTGATATTTAAATTAAAGTTAGATGACTGACCAAGAATTTTTTTTAAAGATAAAGTAATAGACTAATAGTAAAGAATTATTAGCTTTCATGAAATTGTTCGAAGTTTGGGTGAAAAAATGGACATTTGGTATTAAATTTAAGAGGTTAAATGGTTTTCACCGTGGCATAACACACAAGAAATTAGCCTTTGATAGATTCTTATCGTGACAAAACCATAAGTTTATTTGAAATTCTTCACGATTTCAAAATACTTGTAATAATTATATCGGTATTTACTAATACAAAAAAAGAAGTCCTTTCTGAGATTCTTTTAATAAAAAAATAAACAAATAAATACTAAGAATCACGAGTTACGAGGCTGACAGAGCCACTTGGAATACAGTTCAATACAATATGGGCCTTGGCGTAAATTGAACTAAGGTACTAAAGCAAATTGCAGCCAATGAGAACATTCGAGAGAAAATTCCATATAAATATGGGCATTAACATTAAGTTCATCGTCGCCAGCTCCGTCCACTGTTTTAAAGTAGTCTTCATTTTCCGATTCAGGTCCGCTTTCCCATGGCTGCCTCCTCCACCATTAACCGATGGCTGAGGCCCGAGGTCTGTGTCATTTACCCTACATTTCCACTCTCCCTCTCTCTCTCTCTCTCCTAATAACTTAAAAGGGGGATCTAGCACAGTGGCAGCGGCTGCAGCCTGCATGTGTAGTACTACAATGCATTTACTATATAAGGGGGGTTTGGTTTTTATAGTCTGGTCGTTAGATCTGCTCTAACTGAGTACTGATGATGCTATATTATTATTTTGTGGTGTTATATATGTAGGTGTATCCACTATTTGCAGCGGTGGGAGTAGCTGTTGGAATTTGTGGGTTTCAATTGGTTCGCAACATCTGTATCAACCCTGAAGTCAGGTACCCCACCCCCTCCCTTTATGCCGCTGTGTGTGCGTGTGTGTGTTACTATGAATTGCCTGGTTCTTAAAATAATTTTTGAAAATTTTATCTTGTGTACATTTTTATGACATATTTGGACTTTTTAGGAAGCTAGCTTCTTAAATGAAAAGGCATGCATGAAGCTTGATCCAGCATATATAAGTATAAATATGTACTCCCATAGTAAGCCAAATAATAATATTTAAATATGTATATGTATTAATAGGTAACCCACATTTGAATTTTGATGCGTCTCTATCAGAACAATGCATCTCCTTAATTTGATACCACTAGTATTGCTCCAGAATTTGGTTCAATTAGTTGAAAATGAACCTTTTTGGTTCATATTGTTAATGAATGGAGTAATTGAATGCTACTTTTATATATAATTTCTTCTATTGACAATTTTTCAGATGCATAAATTATACCATTTGTGAATATTCAGGGAAAATTTTAATGTATTGGAAATATGAAAGGAAGAATGAAACTGTAAGGAGGAGGAATAGATTGCAGAAGTATGAGGAAATTTTCTTCTAGAAATAGAGAAATCTTGCGGGGCAGGGTGGTAGTAAAGAAATCTGGGGCTGGGGTGCGTCGCTGTATTAAGATCATTTTACAGAGGCATTGGGCTGTTACAGGGTAGGTAGTTTATCCCTGCCTCTTTGCTATCCATAGTTAGGAGATATTTTTTTGTGACATTATGCTTTCTTGCTGTTAAATAATTTATCGACTCACAAAATCAGTTATTTGCATGACTGAAAAGGACGAGTACTTCAGAATCTGTGGTCTTTGAAAGGCATTTTTAATGCAGAGAAATGCTCTCAGCATAAGTTAATTACTACATCTTGGTTTTTGTTGCCTCATCACTGAAGTTTCATGGCTACATACAATTTCAACTGCAAGTTTTGTGCAGTGTCTAGAATGAACTTCTGGGGCTTGTAATAGACCAGTTGGAGTTAGCTCCATTGTTTGAGACCTTTCCATGTTAGATGTTTCCTTCTGAACTGACAAAGAAAGGGTAGAAGGAAAACTGTGTAAAATCGGACTTTCAACTTCTCTAAGCTGCAGGTTATTGGTACTTTTAATGGACTCTACCTTCAGTTCTGATTTTATGTTGAGATTTTTGCTTATATGGTTGTTCATTGTTGTATTGGATGTTTTCTTTTTAAGCCAACATGAAAAGGGAGAATGAAACTGACAATAGGACATTCAACTCTCTAAGCTGCAGCTTATTGCTGCTTTTAATGGATGTTACTCGTTGTTTTTTTCCTAAATTTTTCTGAAATCATAAAGAAATGAGAAGTGGGGTATTAGAAAGTAGAGAATTGCAATATATCTTATAGTTTCACTGGTGTCTTTGTGTTTATGCAAAACATAGGGTGACCAAGGAGAACAGGGCAGCAGGAGTGTTGGATAACTTTACAGAAGGGGAGAAATATGCAGAGCATGCTCTTAGGAAGTTTGTTCGTAACAGGGCTCCAGAGATCATGCCATCTATCAATGGCTTCTTCAGCGATCCAAAGTGATGGCTGAATTTAAACCTGAAATTGATTGGAACTGTTATTGTTTGTTTTTGACATTTGAATGAGATTGACTGGAATGGCAGTTTTCTGCACTAGCTTGGATTCAAAATGGATTCAGATATAAAAGAAAATCTCAAAATAAATGTCGTTAACAATCACAATTGCCCGTCTCTGATGGCCACACCTTTGCATTTTTTTTTATCTGCTGCATTTTGTTTTTCAAAATTTTATTCAGTATTCAATTAATGAATCACCATTTACGTTGATGGGAGTGCAAGTAACTACTTTGTTTGCCTAGGTTTTACTGATGGCTCTGTACTGCCTTTAGTCATTTTACTGTTTGATCACCCAGTTGTGCCACTTCTGGAGTAGTTGCTACTCTTGGAATGACCTTTATTTCTTAATGCATGTGTCCACCTATCCTAACTCTTAGATAAGCCCTAAAAGAGGCACCCCATTTGCATGGAGAAACTTCAGGTGCTGCTTACTAATTACTAGTATCATATTATCACGAGATTGTAAAATTCACTACCTTGATGCTTCCTGAATGATCACAGGTAAAGTTTTTGTTCTGATGTTATATTCCCTTCGCAGGGAGGTGACAAGCTAAAGATATAATGATGAACCTAGGGTTTCGAATAAATTATTTATACACATTAAGTGAATTTTTAAATTCAAATACAAAACTTGGACTAAAGCTATTGGATTCTGTTAAACTCGGCAAGTAGAACTACAGCTCCTATCATGTATACGTATGTGGTTAGCAATCTCATATAAGGCCATTGAGCAGGCAACAACATGGAAGATCGATCTCAGGCATCATAAATTCAACGGAAAAGCAAAACTTCAAGGTGCAAGAGGTGGCCCTCACATGAAATCAATATGCTCGATTAGCTAATTGTAACTACTAATTCGACCCAGAGAAAAAGATTTGGAATAAAACAGAACTTTAATTCTATTGGTCAACAGTGGAGACCTCTTGCCACTCTGCTTCTTTCCACAATGTGACATTGTTATCACCAGCAGCCACTGCCAACAAGTTTCCAGTTAGAGACCATGAAACCCTCCAAACAGGATTTTTAAAGTCTTTAAGAACCTTCCCGTCCCACTGATCTCCCTCTTTTGCCATGGTCCATATGACAACTGTACCATTTTCTGAAGCACTAGCAATTGTTGACTTTCGAAGCCCCAAGTTCGGCGCCCAGGCTACATCCCTCACCCAATTACTATGCATCTGAAGTGCAGGGAAGCAATCCATCTTCCATTTTCCATTACATAACTTCCAAACCTTCACAGTGTTATCACAACCGCCAGATGCTAGCTTCTGAACAGGTTCAAGCACACCTGAACCTACTATAGCACCAGGAGACGTTGATGGCGCCCATGAAACAGATGTTACCCCGACTGGATGAGCTTGGTCTATTTTTTTGGTGTCCCAACCACCATCTGACCTAGCACTGTGAACTGATATATTACCATCAGAAGAAGCACAGGCTAAATAAAGCCCAAGTTCATGAGGGGCCCACGAAATAGAGTTAACGGATGACTTGTGGTCACTAAAAACATGAGCTTGTCTCCACTCATTTTGATTTCCTTCCTTCCAGAATATGACTTTACCGTCATAGGAGCAGGAAGCAAGGATCGACCCAAATTTGGGATGCGCCCAAGCAACCTGCCAAACAGGACCACTATGACCACTCAGAGAGGCAAGGTGCTGTGAAGCAGAGTTGTTACCTACACCAACCATTTTTATGGTATTGTCAGATGATGCTGTTGCCATACGCTTTCCGTAATAGTCCATAGAAACATCATGAACTGTGTCATTATGACTGGTTTCAATCTTCTGTGCAGGCATCTTCTCTTGTTTCTATGCAATATTTCTGTGCTCCTACATTTATCAGTTCGATCCGATTTTAGTAAACATCTCTGTTTGAAAGATAACTACTTTAAATACACTCCTTTCCACACACACCCTATATGGCTAGAGAAAGAATGATTGTAAACTATAAATGATCGGCCAAAATAGAAAACCAAGGCTAAATACTCAACCTAAAACATACATCACAATTAGCCCAAGCAATACAGGCAAGATAGAACTATCAGGGAAATCTGAATTTGAGAGTCCATCATTAGAGCTTTCACATGATATTAATTTAAGCTCATGGTCCTTCAATAATAGCACTTTAATTCAAGACACCAGATCAGAGGAAATAATAACAGGGTAAACCTTCCTTCACAACAGCAAGTAGCAAGAAAGACAATGCTTCATTAATGGACATGGCATACACAGACTAGACTTGAAGGGGAGCCTTGACGTAACTGGTAAAGTTGATGCCACGTGACCAGGAAGTCACGGGTTCAAACCGTGGAAACAGCCTCTTGCATAAATGCAGGGTAAGACTGCATACAATAGACCCTTGTGGTCCGACCCTTCCCCGGACCCCGCACATAGCGGGAGCTTAATGCCTGCCTTTATACACAGACTAGACTAGAGTAGGACAAAAGCAAATGATAGCTAGTATTATTTTGGCCCAGGGGAGAGCCGGCGAGGGGGTTTGGAGAGAGGGGGAATGATCTAAATCAAAGAATATAATGGGAGTACAAGTCAAATTAACCAAAGAATCAACCAACTTGTTGAAACCCCTTGGATAATCATAAGAAGAAGTTGGTGAGAAGCAACATTAAAAGTTAAGCACATGAAATTTGATGGCATCAGAGGATAATAGTAAAGCATTTGAGAAGTTCGAAGTAGCATATTGGTATAATAATTAAAGTTCCACTGGTCCTGATCCAAATTCCCTCCTTCAAACAATATATTAGACTTACTATCCTTGTGGAAAAGAAGAAAACCTATATCACCGAAGTTCATATTTTCTTGAATAAACATCAGAGTTAGCTTCTACATTTCTGATACTATTCTAAGAATTTATCAATAATACAAAGCTACAACTCGGAGATCAAAAGACTAGAATCGTAAACCCTGACTTGAACTAATCTGATGACACTCTGTATGACTCGTTGAAAACTTTTCAGTGTGAAATATCCGTCAACTTTATCAGCTACAAAGTTCCTCTTTCTAAGCTGACAAAAATCAAATGAGCATAACCGTGGAACGTTTAGCTACAGATTAACTCTCAATCTAGGTTTTATGTAAACAAAAAAGAAAAAGAAAAAAAACAGAAAGGTGCACATACAAATAACACATTACTGGCATAAAAGTATAAATTAGGCCGATCAGCAGAGTCACAGTTAGCTGATTTGAACGTCGAGTAACGTTTGAGGTAAAATAGAAAATTCCAATATATAAAGATATATAGGTTGAACCTCCAGAAAAAAATCAGTGCATAAATGGACATGAAAGAAGGGTGAAAATTGTTGACAGAGTGATATTTAAAGAACACATTTGCATTAGATAAGAGCATTATAAATTTCAAGCTTATTTTCCCTAATTAGATAGCAAAGTCCTGAGGAAAGAACAATCAAGATATGTTTATCTCGTCTTACCAGTAAGTGTTAAGTAGACAAACTGTCCTTAATTCAATGAACACAAACATAGAATTAAATAGCTCCAAATGTTATCCAATAGAAATAGCAATTGCTCAACAGCCGAAACCAAAAATAGGACGACGCAGAGGAACTAACTGTAGGGGTCAAACATAAGCTATTTTCCCTCTATATTGATTTTCATTCCGCTGGGTTATAAAAATGATGGATCTAGAATTTCAACCTGGATCAAAGAATAAAGCAGGGGTAAAAGTGAAGAGCAATGTAGGGTTATAGTTACAGCCGCACAAGTATGGATTATATATAAATCTGTCATTAGATTAAGTGTTTAAATCTGGTGAGCTGCTTTTCTAATGCTAAAATGCTTATTTAGTTGATTGTTGAGGAATCCGCTGCACTATCTATTACGCTAATGTTGGTGATTTTTCCATTGGAACTCCTATAGGTTGCTCTGTTTCGTTTAATAATACATAAAATCAATTATTATCTTTTTAAAAAAAGCTACCTAAGTGTTTTGTTTTGTAAATCGGACTACAAATTAGGAGTGTCTTTTAACAGAAATAAAAGGGATTTAAGTTTTTCACCAACACTTATTTTTACAAGTGTTCTACAGTAATAATAATTCTCAAATTAAATCGAAAAAATTCCAACAACTATAGCCATGGTAGTGAATCATATAATTTATTTTTTTACATTTTAAAGATCGTATTTTAAGGTGCAAAAAACTTACATATTTCCCTTTAAAATGAGATGTCTCTTCTTATAATTGTTTCATGTACAAATTTTCGTTGCACATGGTATTACACTATTACTAAAATTCTGGTTGACTTTCTCAAAAATAAGTTGCACATGTTATACTATTACTAAAAAACAATTTATATAATTAATACATAAGTGAAATTTGAATAACAATTAGCATAGCTTATATAAATCCAACAACAATCCTAACAACTTGTTTAGAGATAATTACAGAAATGAGTTTAAGTTATACATACTCCTATTGTTTGTTAAATCGGAAAGGATGGAAAGTTAGGGAACGACCTCATTAATTTAATTTATTTAAAGAAATGAGAGATGGAGGTGCAAGCAACACTTATGTTGACTGAAGCACAACTTACATTCCAGGAAGAGATTTGCTTTGGATGCAAATATACAAGAATAGTATTGATTGAAACTTTCTATTTATTTTAAAATAATAATAATAACATACAAGAATCAAAAGATGTTATTACAAGTCTTTAAAGAGATAAAAGTCGTGGTAACTTATTATTTGCAAAACACAAAACTTCAATCACCTACTAATATTATAGAACTGTAAATGGTAGTATATAGCTTAAATCCTTGAACAAATTTCATTCCCAACACTTGCTGGAAGATATCTTCTGCAGCCGCTACAAAATGCTAAACATTTAGAAGAGATACTTAGTGATGTTAGATAAAGTTAGAGGCTTTACCTCTTTAACACTAAGCTAAATAAACAGGAAACCTTTTGTGATCAAGTTTAGACATCATGTGCTTGCTTTATTATGTCTATTCAGATTTCATGTACAAAATCCAATCATGATTATGACTCTATTCCCTGTTCCTTTAGCTTATGTAGCATTACAACCAGTGAACAGCACAACTCACAAGATAGGACACAAACAAAGAAATGAGGGAAAGACAAAAACAGAATGACAGCACAAAGCAATACAGAAACTGAAGGGCAAAACGGGTCCAGCACCAGTTTTCAATCACCTGGAGACACATTGTTTTTATAAGGTTAGTTTCCCGATGTATTCATTAATCATTCAACATGGAAACGGGTAGATTTCCTGGCAGGCAGCAGCACATCAGATAGAGTTCATTTCAACATTTTCTTTTAAGCTTCGTTAATAATAGTATAAAGATCAGAAAATAGAAGGGGGTCCGGGGACAGAAATTAAAGATACCTTAGAAAATTTATAAGGCGAAAAGAAAAAAAAATTATCACTTACTCAACCTACTGTACATTACTTCATATCTCAAGGGATCTCCATTTGGTATAGTTGAAGCTCACACTGAGCACTTTAAGTAGTGCCACCAATTAGACTAACTACTTTGGATGCATTCTACTTGCATTGTCAAATCCTTGATCCCAGCATCATGCAATATTTCAGATACTTGTGCCTTTGCAGATAACTTCTCACTCTCGCTTGAGACGAGAAGATGAAGAGTCCCAATCACATCTGAGTTCGTGAAGCTCCAAACATGCAGCTTCTGAATCCCAGATAAACCTTTTATCTTCATGACATCGTTTACAGCTTCCTTCAAATCCTGTTCATGAGCCCTTGGAATTCTTTGCAGTAAAATTTCTGCTGAATTCCTGAGCAATGGGATTACTGAAGATATAATTAGAACAGAGATAAAAATTGAGCAGGCGGGATCAGCGACGAGCCATCCCTTGTACTTGATTAACAGCGTCGAAATTACCACCCCAACACTACCCATGGTGTCAGCCAGAACATGCAAAAATATGCCTTCCATGTTATGATCAATGTGCCGGTGTTGCCGCTTATGTTTCTCAGTGACACCCTTGTCTTGACCATGAGAAATATCTGGTCCTTGCAAACTTGCAACAGAGCCGTGGTGCACCTTTATCGAAGAACTACTTGAGCTGCCAACATGACAATGTTGGTGAGCATCATCATGATGACGGTGCCCATGGTTATGGTCACAGGAATGATCATGAGAATGAGGAGTCTTATGGTCATGGGAATGATCATGAGAATGGTGGTCATGGTTATGGTCATGGGAGTGATCATGAGAATGAGGAGTGTTATGGTCATGGGAATGATCATGAGAATGAGGAGTCTTATGTTCATGGGAGTGATCATGAGAATGGTGGTCATGGGAGTGATCATGGTCATGTAAATGGTGAAGATGGTGATCTTGGAGACTATCGCCTGTGGAATGAGAATGAGCATGTGAATGGGAGTGTGAACATGATCCACCATGGGCATGATGATGTTCCTCATGAAAGAAGATCAAACCCACAATATTAACAAGAAGTCCACCAATAGACACTGACAATAGGCTGTTAGTAGAAACCTCCTGAGGGTCTAATATCCTCTCAAATGATTCAAGCACAATTAACGCTCCCACGAGGACAAGAAAAACCGCATTTGCATACCCAGAAAGAATCTCAAATCTTCCACGACCGTAGTTAAACTGACCATTTGCTGGCAACCGGGATATGTACGAAGCATATAACCCAATAGCTAGAGCTGCACAATCAAACAGCATGTGACAAGCATCTGATATTAACCCAAGGCTATTACTCATAAAACCAGCAACAAATTCCACAACCATGTAAGCTGTATTGATCAAAAGGAAAAGCGCTATCTTGCGAGACTTCCTCTCACCCAAGATATGCCGGAGAGGTTTCATAACCGAAGTCGTAAACCAATCCGATCGTTCCAACCCCAACTCAATATAATTACTATCAACAGGATCCAAATTCCTTACTGAAATCCAGAGCAACAATCCACATATCAACAATCCCCAAAGCGAAAGCTCAGGATAATAAAACAATTCCAATACAACAGTACATACATAGGTCACAAGATACTCCTTTTGAAAATCCTTCGACGAAATTGTCCTCTCATCAGTAAAATTCTCACTCAAAAGCACACCAAACACTACTGTGTTCACCAAAACCCAACCGAGACTCGAAATAGAGATACTATCTCCGTCTGCTTCAAACACAAACATACTTATAACAGCAGGTACAAACAGCATTACAGTAGTAAAAAACAAAGATACCAATCTAACCTGCTTCCTACCCATTTCCCTTAAACTACCCAAATTCATAAAACTCCTCTCATAACACCCCAAAAACCCGCAAACAAAAGGAAGCAACATAGGCCAAATCCTTATACAACTATACCTCGGCAGAATCGAAAACCCCATTTCAGTTACATTCACAGAAGATAAAGGGAAACATTCGATTCTATCCCAACTAACAGATAGCAGAAACAACCCAATAAACATAGCAATAAACCCACAAACCTTAGACGATCTAATCTGATTCTTGTCAAAAAGATCGAGTCTCTTTCCATCAGAAATGAAGCGGGCAGCTATATTTCCGGAAACTTCAGCAAGAATCATTGCAGCAGTGCCACAGTATCTCAGAGCTTGAAATCTCAGCAGAAAAACTATAGCAAGAAGAAGGGATTTTTGCAGTAGAAGCTTATATTGAGATTTGGTGAAGGAGAAAAAAACGAGCCGGTGGCGATTTTTGTGATGAAAAAGGTGTTTCGAAGTGAAGATGGAGAAAGAGAAAGTGAGGAGAAAAGAGAGGAGGGAAACGAGGAAAGAGAAAGGGAAGAGAGAGAAAGAGGAAGGGGAAGAACGGAGGAAAGGGAGAAGAGAGTAAAGAGAGCGGAGAGAGAAGAGGAGGAGGAAGAGAAATGGTAAAGATGAGGTTTTTGTTGAAGATTTGGGAGTGGGGAAATAGGAGGGAATTCGGTGTTTAGATGGAGTTGGAGTTGGAGTTGAAGGTGGGTAGTTGTTGAAAAGAGGGTAGGGGGTTCTTGTGGTAGTAGGAGTGGCGGTGGTGGTGGAAATGGTGGTGCGTGGTGGAAGTGAGAGACGATGGGGCCGGTGATGGTGGTGGTGGTGGTGGTGGTTTTCAGCCATTGTCGGAGAGTCCAATGGAAGAATTTTCCAACGTTAATGATCAACAGTGTCGGAATTATGGAAAGATCAAGTCATTGACTTCCATTGGGTTGGGCCAAACTCCGGAATTGTTTCTTGGACCAATGGGCTATTTTGTAAAAATAGCGGGGGATGGCTAGATTTTTAATGGGAAATTACCAGCTATGTCCATTTATAAGTAGTTCATTATAAAAATTAGCCAATTGATAAAATATTACTAATATTAGCCAATTAGCTATTTGTAGCAAAAAAATATCAAATTTTTGCTTTGTTTTGAGTGGGTGTTGTTAGAATAGATTGGGAACAACTTAAGGAGCTTGAATCTTATTTTTGGGATGATTTGGTGAAGTTTTGAGGTGGTTTGAATTGAAAATTCGAAGTAAAAGCTGAACATGAAAAAAAATGATATGTGTATCATTTGTGTATCACATATGTATCATATTTGTATCAATTGTGTATCACGTGTATATCCATGTATACTTGTGTGTGAGATACATGCGTGATACATGTTTGATACATGTGTCGCAGAAGACTTTTTTGAACTTGATTTAATTAAGAATTTTGATACAAAACTAGTCCAAATCACCTCCAATCTTCCTCAAATTTTGTATATTGACTTATCTATATATTTTCAATAAATTTCAACTATACCCATTGAAAAAGTTCCTGTTTTGTTTAGATTTTTGAAATATTGTATAGATTTTTATATTTCATCACCTTATTTGCTACCCCGTCCATGAAATTTTCTTTCCGTCTTGTATCTAATGTTGTTAATCACGCTTAAAAATATGGAAAGTGGTTTTTGCATGTGATTCTTTGATAGAAAGAACCCTATTATTTGGGTTTTCAATTTTTGTTGGCTAGTTTTGATAAGTCTATGACTAATGGCTAGAGGTTGGTAAGTTGAGATTTATACGGGACATTTGTGTAAGTTTCCCATTTTTAATCGAAAAACAGTCAATATTTGCAAAGTAGTAGAAAAACAGTCATTTATAAGTGAAACTCTGGACTGTTATGGAGTTCGAAAAAAGCGGACAAGATGAAGAAGCTCTGCTTTTTAAATCAGGGGTAGTTTTCTTTAGTTATTATTTCGTACGTAAAAATGACTTAATTTCAATTAATTTTGCAATTATATATGACTGTTTTCCAATAGTATTTGCGTGTTTCCTTCTGTTTGATTAGAATAGATGGTGGGTATTATCAGTTTGCGCCACAAATTATTTATATCTGGTAGCCAAAAAAGTATATAAAATTTATGTAATTTTCGTATATAAGATACAAAATGTATATAGATACATAAAAAAATATACAAATTTTATACATTTTTTTTTTTGCTATTATTTTTACAGCGGCTATACAATATCATTTTCTCATAGATGGTAGGATGATGGGCTGAGACTAACAGGCCATTTAATGTGCCAAGGAAAGAGGCAAAATTGGTAGTCACGATGGCTAAGACTGCAACTTTTGAGCGATTGTACGAGGATCTTGGGGGCAAAGGACGCGACAGAAAGCTGTACAAGTTAGTCAAGATCAGGGAGAGGAAGGCTCGGACCTGGATCAAGTGCGGTGCATCAAAGACGAAGACGGTAGGGTTCTGGTGGAAGAGGCGGGTATTAAGCGTAGATGGCAATAGTACTTCCATAGATCCTGAACGAGGAAGGGGACATGAACATCGTATTGGGAGAGTTGGAAAACTCAGGGAGTCAGAGGGATTTTGGGTTTTGCAAGCGTATTAAGAGTGAGGAGGTTGAGGGGGAAATGCGAAAGATGAGCAGGGGTAAGGCAACTGGGCCTGACGAGATCCCAGTAAAATTTTGGAAGGAAGTGGGGCAGGCAGGCTTGGAATGGTTTACTGGGTTGTTTAATGTCATTTTTAGGGGGGGAAAGATGCCCGAGGAGTGGCGGTGGAGTTTGATGATCCTGTAGTACAAGAACTAAGGTGATATTCAGGACTGCAACAACTATAGGGGTATCAAGCTGCTGAGTCCTACAATGAAAATTTGGGAGAGGGTGGTGGAGAGGAGGGTGCGACGTAGTGTTACTATTTTCGAGAACCAGTTCGGGTTTATGCCAGGAAGGTCTACTACAGAAGCCATTCACCTTGTGAGGAGATTGGTGGAGCAGTATAGGGAAAGGAAGAAGAACTTGCATATGGTATTCATAGACCTGGAGAAGGCTTATGATAAAGTTACGAGAGAGGTTCTATGGAGGCTAGCGGTGTCCCAGTGGCATATATAAGGGTGATTAAGGACATGTACGAGGGAGCGAAGACTCGGATGAGGACTGAGGAAGGAGACTCAGATCATTTTCCAGTGGAGATGGGGCTGCATCAGGGATCGGCTCTTAGCCCGTTTTTTGTTTGCCTTAGCGTTACAGGTGCTGACACGACGCATACAAGGGAAGGTGCTATGGTGTATGCTATTCGCTGACGACATAGTCCTGATTGATGAGACGCGTGAGGGGGTTAATGTTAGGTTGGAAGTTTGGAGAGAGACGCTAGAGTCTAAGGGTTTTAAGTTGAATAGGTAAAAAATTGAGTACTTGGAGTGCAAGTTCAGTGATGGGATGCACGAAGAAGGAGCGGAAGTGAAGATTGGTACTCAAGTCGTCTCCAAAAGAGATAGTTTCAAGTATCTTGGGTCGATTATTCAAGGTAACGGGGAGATTGACGAGGATGTTACCCATCGTATTGGATCGGGGTGGATAGGGTTGAGGCTTGCCTCGGGGGTTTTATGTGATAAGAGTGTGCCACCTGGACTTAAGGGCAAGTTCTACAGAGTGGTGGTTAGACTGGCTATGTTATATGGGGCTGAGTGTTGGCCCGTCAAGAAGTCCCATGTCCAGAAGATGAAAGTAGCTGAGATGGGGATACTGAGATGGATGTGTGGTCATACCAGGAAGGACAAGAACAAGAATGAAGTTATTAGGGACAAGGTAAGTGTGGCATATGTGGAGGACAAGTTGCGGGAGTCGAGGCTGAGATGGTTCGGACATGTGAAGAGGAAAGACATAGATGCTCCGGTTAGGAGGTGTGAGAGGTTGTCCATTGCTGGTCTGATGAAGGGTAGGGGCAGCACTAAGAAGTATTGGAGAGAGGTAGTTATGCAGGATATGTCATTGCTCCAGCTTACCGAGGATATTACCCACGATAGAAAGACGTGGAGGTCGAGGATTAGGGTTGAAGGTTGATAATTAGTAGTGTGTTCCTCCCAGGCTTACCAGTAGTACTAGAACTATTTTTGTGTTATCTTATTCATGATTCTTTACTATTACATGTTGTGTCATTCGTGCACGTTACCTTAATGTATTGTTATTACTATTATTTGCTACTTGTTGCCTTATCTCTACTGTGCCTTGAGCCGAGGGTCCATCGAAAACAGCCTCCCTATCTTTATAAGGTAGGGGTAAGGTCTGCATACACGATACCCTCCCCAGACCTCATTTATGGGATTACACTGGGTTCGTTGTTGTTGTTTTTTATTTGAAGTTAGAGGAATTTCCAAAGATATTTTTACCTATCTATACTACATATAAAATTTATTTATCCTCCCTAATCTGGTTTTAACTTAATTATATGGGCATATACAAATTAGTATTAATGATTATCCCTTTATATTAAAAAATTAAATAGGAAATCAGTTATTTTCCCATCCCTCCCCCCCCCNAAAAATAGGAGAAAACGGCTTGTAGCCCATCCGAAACACCCCCGGGACCCCGTCTAAACATACAAACAAGTTCCATAACCTAACACGCTCTCTCTCTCTCTCTCTCTCACACACACACACACACTATGTTCTTTCCCCAATTTTTCTTCCTTCATTTTTCTCTGTATATTTTATCCTTTTTTAGGAAATTCGTCAATGAATTTCAATTATTTTAATATAGAGTTATAAGCATGCAAAATTTATTGAATTTATTCAATAAAATAATTTGGACTATATTAATCCAAATAAATATTATGGGCTAATATTATTGGATTAATTATATAAGTTAAATAAGTCCAAATTTATTGGGCTAGCTCACTTAATTGGGCTACAATAATGAGCCCATTTCATTAGGCCCAAAATATCATCTTCCTAGAGGCCCTGTTTGGTGCCACGTGTCAAATGACGTGGCGCGCCAAGTCAAATGAAAAAGCCAATAGGATCATGCCACGTGTTAAAATGATAAGGCATGCCCAGTCATACTGAAAGGCCAATGAAATCGCGCCACGTGTGCAAGTGACATGTTCTGGCCAATCAAATGCGGCCATGTCACACTTCAATTTGATTGGTCGGAAAGAGTTTGTTCTTATAATGACTCCTCCCTTCCGCAACTTTAAATAGGGGTCTTCATAACCCAGAAAAGACACCAGAAGATATAACAAGAAGCAAGAGATAGCTTGTGGATCAAACGCCGCAAATTGCTCTACAAGTTTCAAGCTTCAAGCAACCAAGTTCAAGTTCAAGTTCAAGAATGAAGAACAAATCAAGTTCAAGCTCAAGAACGAAGAACAATTCAAGTATTCAAGATCAAGAACGAAGTCAAATTAAATACAAGGCGTTCAAGATCAAGGCTACTTGTTCGTGATACAATTCGTGGCAACAATCAAAGTGTTTGCGACGGATAAATTAAATTCAAATTCAAGATCAAGCTCAAAGGCCCTTGAATTTATACTGAAAAAGTAGAATCAGAGGAATCATAGAGATTGTACACTCAAATATTCAAAATGAAATATTACGCTTATTGCAATATTTTTTGGTCTTAATTTTATTTTCTCGACGCAAATTTATTGTCTACAAATTCTGGCACGCCTAGTGGGACAATCTCTACCTCTCATCTCAACTTTTCAATCACCAAAGTTCAAGAACATCGAAATGGTTTCAAAGAAAATCAACTCCATTTCAACTTCCACCAAAGCTGCTAATTCCAGGTTCTATGCTAATATGGAAAACATACTCGAAGTTACCTTTGGAAGCTTTAGACCAGTTACGAGGAGCAAAGCAAGCTCGTTAGGACAATAAGCACCCCAAGTGCTGTCCGCATCTACCCCTGTTTTCGGATCTTCATCCTCAAAAGGAGCAAGAT